TTCAGCACAAGTAAACGCATGTATAGCCTAAAGTAATATTAATGCAATTACTTTGCATTACAATTTATACTTACTTCTAATTAATAAGGTATCTACTGCCTAATAAAGTTGAGCTGGCCCACCATTCCTTCCTATTGCACGACTGACATTGAAATTCAGCACAAATCACGTGACCAAACTAGAACAGTAATAACAAAAAAATATGTAATATTTCTCTAAGATACATGTCTGTAATTGATCATCTTTCGGTGGATCATGCCACATGTACACCAATGTGTCAGTTTCAAAACCAAATCCTCAAAAGCAGATACTTGACTCACAAACAATGGCTGCTCTTCATCCCCATCACCAGTGTATATACCTTATTTAATATCATTAATAATGTAAATACAACATAACTACCTGAAGTATTCAGCATAGCAGAACTACTTGCATTATGAGACTGAACCCCAGAGTCCTCCTTTTCAGATAAATCAAACAAGTGAGACAGCAGTTCCAAGTTGTCAATAGGTCGTCTCCTCTTAGAAGACAAAGATTCCTTAACTCAATCAAGCTTAGCTATAAAATGATCCTTGTCTTAATTTTGAATAGAATTCAGCTCCACTTGGAAGCAAAAACCTTCTCTTCTAGCACGTTTCTTTAAAGTACCAACACCATCAGCAGTAGACATTTTTACACGTGTAAAAAATGAAAAGCATCATGTTAAAGACACCGCCTTTTATACTGCACCTTCTTGTTTAAAGTTTTCTGTACTTGAGTGCTATTTCTTTCCCACTCTCTTTTACCCACTTAACATAGTCTCGCTGGCCATACCCTTGCCTCCCTGCAGGGGAAGGGTCTGGTACAATGCTTAATGTAGATTTGTCGCAGTAACAGCCACGTGTGTGTTGATGTAAGCGTGATGTTAGCATGTTGTAGCATAGGTCATCAGTGTTAAACCACGCCCAGACCATGTGTTACCTTGTATTATGGTTAGATTAGAAGAAGCTGCTAGTTCACAAGGATTTCCATCACTGAAAGAGGAGCAGGGTCTTTGTATTCGAGAGTTCATGTTAGGTAGAGATGTTTTTGCCATTGTACCTACAGGATATGGCAAGACCACTTGTTTCTCTTTTTTGCCATCTGCTTTCAACCTTAATGAGAACAGAAGTCAAGACAACAATGCTATAATAATAGTCATATCAACCCTCACAGCATTTATTTGTGATCAAGTGATCATAGCTGTAAGTGTTGTGACATGTGCATCAGGAATTTTAATTGTAATCATTTCATAGAAATTTATCACTAACTTATGGTTTTATTCCTGTTTTGTTTAATTAAAATAGGTAATTTATTAATAATTTCAATTTAAAAGAGTAATGTATTAACTCAATAAGAAACAACTTCAATGAACACTATTGTGCCTGTATCCATTTGTGAAACTTTTCATTATACCTAAGTGATGAAACAGGATTGGTCTTTATCAATTGAAATGTAACATGTTTTCTATTATCGTGACAGCAGACTCACTAGGTCAGGTATGTACCTTAGATGAGTTATAGGAAGCCAGTAGAGACACAGTAGCTGATGTTCTTTGCCTGGTGGGATAAGTAAACTTTGGAACAACTTCTACAGACAAAAGAGGCAGCAATAATGGCATCAAGGTCGACATTCAGATTATTGGCAGTACATCTATGACAAACATACTTTTTCAGGAACTGAGAAACAGTTGATGCCTTGACTTTGGCTCGCATTACAGCAGCTTCTTCACAAGCCAAACACTCATCCTCAAGAGATGCCACTTCATCATGTGACTAAAGTGACCTTTGGACAATGTACCGCTTACGTTTTGCAATTGCTAAATTTGATTGGTTGCGTACGATTTTGGACGCAGGGACAAAGCTACATTAAGCATTGTACCAGACCCTTCCCCTGCAGGGAGGCAAGGGTCTGGCCAGGGAGACTACTCTTAACATGCAATAAATGACCAAACCCCCTCCCAATGTGTAACTTTTTCCCTCACTGTGCCTCCTTAAACTCCCTGAATATAGTTTATTCTCAGACACGCACACCTCTTCTTTCCTGTCATTTCTTTCTTTACGGCTTTACTTACTGTACATGGACATATGTCTTTTCTCTGCATCTTTCTCATCTTTGCCTGTATGTCTCTATCCTATGTGTATGTGTCTTCCTCTCTATGTTCCTTACATATATATTCCTCTCCCCATCAAACTCTCTCTCTTATTCAGTTTTAGTCTCCCTCTCTTTTGCTAAAAGTATCTCTCACTTTAACTCCACCTGTGCCTTGTTCAATTAATCTCTATTGCCCA